CAGAATCGGCGGCGCCCCGCCCCCTCCCGGGCCTGGGGGCGGGGCCTGGACCCAGTGGCGCAAATTGTAATGGGAAAAGGGGGCACTGCTCTCAGCTCCTTGGAAACTTTCTGATCTCTTGGAGCAGACGTGAAATACGCACATAAGTGGAAATGCAAAAGCAAACAGTGCTGAGTGTGGCCCAGGCACTGTGCTAAGCACTTTATATTTATTGTCTCATTTAACCCTCCCCAAACCCTGTGAGGTAAACACTCTCATCCCCGTTTATTTCCATTTCATAAATTAAAAACTAGGTAAAATAAAGCCAGAAAAGGTTAAACACACGAGGCACTATATTAACCTTTATTGCATGTAAGGAAACGGAGGCCCAGGCAGAAGGAGGTTATGACAGAGCCAGATGAAAACCAAGGAGAGAAAAGCATGCACCTGAGTTACCCCTACCTGCCACCAGGTCACGCCTACCGCCCGTGTCTGAATCACGTGTTTAGAGGTTATTTCTGCACTTCTGCAAAGAAATTAATTTCAACAGTCTTTTTCCAAGCTTGGAAGAATACTCATGGTTCTTCATCGTGGCTCCCTCGTAAGGCTCCAGGACACCTCCCTACCCGCCGCCCCGCCACCCCCCAAGAATTCAAATTTGCTACAAACTACCAACTGTGCCCACGAGGGAAACTGTCCCAGTAAAAGGTCTCTGGACGAGAAATTACCTAGCAAGGTGTTGGATTCGGCCTCCTCAGATCAAAACCTAAACTGAAACTAAAATGCCCCGGAGCTAGGGAAAAGAAGAGGAAAGAAGGGAAGAGAGAAGCGAAACTCGCTGGGGCGTCTCCTAAGCACCCGGCGGAGTGCGGGAATCTGAAAGTGTCTGACTCTACTTCCTTTCTGTCCCTATGACCAAGGGCCACCCTACAACTACAGGACATGCACTAGGCAATGGCATCAAAGTGAGTTATTTATTTTAAAAACCTTTCTATTCCAAAGGTGTTTCATGTTGTGAAGATCATCAGGCTCTCGGACCTTCCATCGGACTCGCGAGGCTGCTCCCTCCCACCTGCCTTCACTTTTCACCAGCTCGCCACAAAAACGAGGGTACAGAAGCCGCTGTCTCCATCCAGAGGCCTCGATAAGAATTGCTCTAAGGATGGAAGCCCTCTGATGATTTTTTTTGTTTTCACTTTTCACTTTGAAATAATTATAGGTTCACAGGAAATTGCACGCACACCAAAAAAAAAAAAAAAAAATAGTCCAAAGAAGTCTCACATACCCCTCACCCAAATTCCCCTAATGGTTATATCTTAATTATAATACAACATGAAAATCAGGATTTGACATTGGTATAATGTGTGCATAAAGCTTTATGTCATTTTATTACATGTAAATTCATGTAACCATCACTGCAAACAAGATATAAAATTATTCTCCTACCACAGTATTAGAGAGGGTTTGAGAAAACCAACACCTTCTTGCCTGGCTGGGCGGGGAAGGAGCACGTGAATTGATTTCTCCTCTGTGGAGAGCAGTACAGCAATATCCTTTGAAAACTTTAAGTTCACATACTTTTGACCCAGCATTTCCACTTCTAGAATGAATCATACGAGGTATCTTTACACATGTCCAAACTGTACAGGCTATCTGTGGCTGCATTATTCATAAAAATAAAAGATTGTCAGCAACCTAAAAATGTTCAATTCTAAAAAACTAGTGAAAAAATTATGGAACATCGGTCAAGCAATGAAAAAGGCCATAGCTATCAATGCACTGATACGAGATGATCTACAATGTATATTATAAAAAAGGTAAAGAGCAGAAAAATGTCTATGTATGAAAAATAATAAGTAAATAGGCCTAAACCAACAAATTGACTTAAAAAACATACTGGTCAAAAAACTAAATTGGACAAAAGTTAAAATTTCCAGTCGACGGCACACACCAAAAGTAACGTGTATATATGTGTACACGCGCACACACACACACACACACACACACACACACATATACTTTTAGGCGTGGGTTATACATGAGAAAATGCTGGAGCAACTAACTGGTACAGACTATCACTGGAAAAGGGAACGAACTGGGTATCCTGGTCCTGGGTGAGTTTGGAGAAAGATTTCTCTTTCACCATATATTCTTTTTATAACATCTGAGTTTGTAATGTGTGCATGCATTACCTATTGTAAAGTCAAATAAAATATTTTAATGAAATATGGTTATCTTTTTCTTTGGCTCTCCCATCGATTTATACTTTCTCTCTCCAAACCCAAGATGAGTTTATATTTGTATTGGTTTGCTAAGGCGGCCACGACAAAATATCACAGAATCGGTGATTTAACCAAAAGAAATCTATTTTCTAACTGTTCTGGAGACTGGAAACCCGAGATTAAGGTGTCAGCCAATTCAGTTTCTTCTGAGACTCTCTCTTTGCCTTTCAGATGGCTGCCTTCTCACTGTGTCCTCACCCGGTCCGTTCTCTGTGCAAGCATGACCCTGGTGTCACTCCATGAGTCCTAATCGCCTCTTCTTACGAGGACACCAGTCAGACTGAATTAGGGCCCTCCCTCACAGCCTCACTTTGACTTAATTACCTCTTTAAAGGCCCTGTCTCCAAAGATAGTCACATTCTGGGTAGTGGGGATTAAGGCTTCAACATATAAATTTTGAAGGGTCACAGCTCAGTCCAGCTGACACTTGACACTTGATCTTTTCCAGCCTCATTTCGCTCTTCTACAATTCTTTGAAACAGATGCTCCACGTGCCTTATTTTAAAACTCTTGCTACCTTTATTTTATATTTTATAATCTTGTTCATTTGTCTTGCCATTCTTTAAAGAGTGTAAAGTTAAAAAAAATATTTTTGCAAGTTATCATTTCATTTCATGTATGTTCCAGAAAGGGCTGCAGGGTGAAGGTTTTTCCCTCGCCCCTTGATATTGGTCAGGCCCGCTTGGCATGCGCGTGCCGGCCCAAGTGACAGCATCTCATCTCTCTAATGAACTCTTTCCACTGCCTTTGTTGCTGTAGTCTTTCTGTAATTCATTCATCATCTATCACTGTATCTCGTTCTTCAGGTCGCAATGTAAAAGAAATATCTCAGAGTCTTCTTTAATTTGATTTTTCATGTCTCTATTTTTCTTCTTCACTCAGTCAAGACATCTAGACGATCTGGTATGCCGGACCCTGGACTAGGCCCTCAATATGCAGAAAGGATCGAGGGGGAGATGGCGCCCGACCCCAAGGACCTTATAGAGGACCTTATAGAGACAGAGAATAAATCAAAAGTTTGCTAATCTATCTCTAATCTATCTCTGCTGTCTAACGATTCCTGATTACAATCATTTTTTTCCCCCAACCCACTTTGAGTTCAAGTTCTCTGACGGTACGAGATAGAAATCTAACGTAAGTTGACCTAAGTGAAGGTAACAGGCTGGCCGTCGCAAGCTTTCACACCACAAGTAGATTGGCTTCAGGCCAGGCACGAGGCTCCAAGTTATATGTATCTTGGGACCAGTTGGCTCAGCAAAGCCATTCACTGGGTCGGTTTCAACTTCACGCTTCCCATGGTAGCAAAACACTGGCAGAGCTTCGTGTCCTACACCCTCCCCATTTTTTGATCCAGCAAGAAAAAGCTAGAGTTTTTTCTCCAGAAATCTCAGCCCAAGTCTCCTTGAGTCTCCTTGACTGTTTTTGAGCCCCTCACTTATCCCTTATGCCAACTGCGGTCAGCAAATTGTTTACCTTCACAGAACTGACTTCCTAGGAGTGGAGACAGACGACATCCACGTAAACAAATAAATTAGATAGTTTTAGATAGTGCATATGAAGATGTGCATACGGAGAAGGAAATAAAACAAAGAAATACGGTAGAGAATGAGTGGGTTTAACCTTAACGGGTTATCAGAGAGAATACGCAAACGAAAACTTAAGAGGTTACAGTAATATAATATTAGTTATGTAAGCTGTCGCCAACAGGGCAAGCAACATAAAGGTACACGGAACTCTCTGTTCCGGTTTTACAACTTCTCGTGGGTCAAATTATTTCAATATAAAACGTTTTAAGTTAATAAATAATTTAGACGTTGTGCTGAAGCCTATGAAGGAAAAGAAGACGGGACAGTGAGAGAATTAGAGACGTTAGGGAGGGTATTCAGGAAAGGTTAGCTCTGAGAAGGTGACATCTGAGCGGGGACCAGACAGGTGAGGACAAGCCAGCTGCGTGGAGGAGAGCGGGAGCGTTCCAGGCAGAGAACTCCTGCAGCATGCGACGTGGCCCTATGGCAGGAAAAAGCTGGCACACAAAAGGAATTAACAGAAGATCCATTTGGCTGCGGGCACAGCAAATAAGGGTGAGGCTGGGACCGGGAGATAAGGTTGCCGAGGCTGGAGAAACACTTGGGCGTTTTGGAGGCGTCGGACTAGCTGGATTTCACTCTTCGAATTTAAGCCTCGAATCTAGCATATGATGGCTTTTTCTAAGCTAAAATAAATACCTTGACTAGCACCACATTGTTTAAATTATTCATTTATGATCGTGTCTGCCAGTGCCCCTCATTCTTTAATACACACACAGACCACCTGGGGATCTTCTCAAAATACAGATTCTGATTCAAGGCCCAGCAGGATTTGAGGGTCTGCATTTTCAACACCCCCCTAAGTGGTATTGCTGCTGCTGGTCCATGCACAGGCCTTGAGAATCAAGGCAGTCGTCTGTGAAAAGGAGTTTGGAATACACGCTAAATTCAACTGGAAGCCATCGAAGGACTTTAAAAAGAGATATAATCCAGTTTGTTTCAGACTGCAACCCTCGCAAGGCTCTTTCTGTTCTGGGATCGGCTCTTCTCTGTCTCCTGCAGCAGTTATGTAGTTAGAAGGCTGTGTTGGGCTTCTAGGTCCCCTTACAGGTTTTGGGGTTTTCCAATGCATTCTCTTCAGGGCTTAAC